TTTACATGGATGGATTTTATGATACGTGAATTTTATGTCAAAAAAGATCTTTTTTTAAATGGCAGATTTAATCTGTTTCGACGTAATATATTAAATTAATTGGGTTCTTACCATATGTCAAGATCTCTCTGGGAGCTTAACATGAATTACTTTTTTTAACACTTAAAATATCTGTCCAATATAGGTGCTGTTATTATACACATTTTGCAGGTGAGTGAACTGAGGTCAGATAAGTTAAATAAATTCTTTGCAGTCATAGCAAATAAACAGCAGAGATGTAATTGGAACCCAAAGCCCATCTGGCTCCAGAGCGACCCCACAGTGCTGCGGCTGCCTGTCTGTTCAGCAGGCACTTTCGAGGTTTTTCAAGATTCGGGCTTGGGGGCCAAAGACACAGGATGAAAGACTAGGTGTCTGTCTGCCCGGAAGCTCATCCTGGGAGGAGGCAGATATAATTACAGAAAATGATTAAGATCAAACAAACAAAACCCAGAAACAGACTCACAAACACAGAGAACACACCGGTGGTTGCCAAAGGGGTGGGGGTGGGGGTGAAACAGGTAAAGGGGATCAGGAAGTGCAAACTTCCAGTTATAAAGTAAGTCAGTCACGGGGATGAAAGTACAGTGTAGGGCACGTAGCCCATAGTGTTGTAATATCTGTACACGGGGGTGGATGGGAGCGACACATCGTGCTGAGCATTTCGTAATGTTGAATGCTGAATCAAGGCTGAATCCCTATGTTGTGCACCTGAAACCAATATAACATTATGTCAACGATACTTCAATAAAAAAAAGTAAGAAAAAAAATGAGCCATAGCGAGGGCTGAATGATGAAGACGGGCCATGGTCGTGGGGCTTAGGGAACACCAGGGTAACCACCACCCTCTGGCCCTCCTGCGGATGCACGAATGTGCAGCACCCTCACATCAGGTTGGGAGGCCCATCCGTAGCCTGTTCCTGCCAGATCTATTGCCAGCTCACCTCCTCTGCTTGGCTGCTGAGGCTCCTGGGAGTCGTCCTAGACTCTCTGCCACCCTGTATTCAATCCCCGTTAATTCTGCCCAGTCTACTTCCCAGCTGTATCTCCAAGCTGCCGACCCTGCCCCAGAGCCCACCCGAGTGCCCGCCACTGTCACATCTCACCTGGATGGTAGCATGGGCCTCCTCACCATCTCCCTACTCTTCCGTCCATTTCCCCGCACAGCATTCTGCTTCCACCCTGCAGGCAAACAGCTCACAGGTGTGGAGGGAGGGCATGAGCCTTGGGGTGTGAAAGAGATGATATGAATCGTGGGGGTGGGCATGTGTGCGAACATGCAGAGGTGGGCAGAAGGTGTGGCTACCGGGCATTTAGGATGGGTTTGGGTCCACGTCCCTGTGCTGCATCCGCACAGCATGCGAGAGGCCCCGGGGGAAGAGCGTCACTGTGTGGTGTGACCGCGCTGTTAAAACCCCATTCTCACTGCTGTGACTGTGGCAGGGGCAAATGTGCAGAGCTGGGTACAAGGAAGGAAGTGAGCAGAAGCGTCTCGAGGCTGCTCGCCTCAAAGACCCCGAGGCCCCAGCTGATGAGGGCATCTACATAGACAGCCACCAAGCTGTCACTCTCTGGGAGACAAAAAAGGTGAAGGGATCCTCAGATAGGACATCGGGACTGCTGAGGGGAAGGGGTGGAGGAGGAAACTGAAGGTTGTATAATAAAGACTTGGCCTGGCCTTTGCCCCTGGCTCCTGGGAGGAAGCCCCTAAGTCCTTGGGGCTTCCCAGGTGACAGGAGTGTTTGTTATTCACGATGGCCTGATAGTTGGTGCTAACAAGGTGCCTCCTGATGGCCCCCTAGGTAGTTTCAGGATGGGGCCTGCGTGATGAAAGCCCAGTGAGAACTCCAGCTCCCCACCCTTCACTGACCTTACTGATGGTGACACACATCCTTGTGTAGGAGGGTGATAGGTACTGACGCCCCGGGGAGAGGGTTTGGTAGCTCCCTGCTGGGAACCCTCCCAGACTTTGCCCTGTGCATCTCTCCTTTTGGCTTTGATTTGTACCCTTTCATTGTTGTAGAACAACTGTTGTAGTTAAGTAGAGCACTTTCCTGAGGTTGGGGAGATGTTCTAGTGAATTATCAAGCTTGGGAGGGCAGTGGGGGCCCCTGAATTTGTAGCTAGTTGGTGATGGGATTCAGGGCACACTACCCCAAAATGTGGCACCTTGGCATTTTGAGTATTTTAAGGTGAAGAAGTTTGTGAAAACAGCAGAGGCAGGAAGTTCACTCTGACTCAGCCTTCCTCCTTGAAACAGGTCATAAACCCTCATGGGAGAGGTGCTCTCCCTGTAGCCAAGGAAAGGAGGATCCTCTGTCAAAGGACAAAGAGATGCCAAGAGGAGTCCTAACAGACAGGTCTTGCTTAAGCTCCCCCCTGCGCTTGCCTCATTCATACTCGTTACCCCGCCTGGCTTCGCGGTGACTGCCCACTCCTCATCAAACCTCACATCAAAACACACATCTGCTTCTTTGGGTCATTTTCTTATAAAGACTCCATGTCACATAAAACTTGTATCCATTAACATGTAGGCTTTTCTCTTATTAATCCGTCAGTTTAATATTTAGACCCAGCCAGGGACCCTAGGGGGGCTGAGAAGGTATTCCTGCCCTACAGTGATTGGCCAGAAGGGCAGATGGCTTGGGCACCCCCAGCTCATGGCTGGTGTCTGGAGAGGATGCTTGCGGAGGGCTGTGCCCTAGATGGGTGAAGTCTGACCTTCCTCTGGGTAGGTAGGGCTGGGATTACATTGCACTGAGCCAACACTTTCTACCTCCCTGGGGGTCAGAAGTCTGCATCCTCATGGCATGCTTTGCACAAGCACAGATCGGAGGCCATGATTTTGTCTATCCTACCAGGCACTCTGGCTGAAGCAGCGCAGGGAGCCAAGGGCAGCAGATTGAGAAAACGTGGGGTGTGTTTGGGGTATCTGTGTCCTAGTTAAAATAGCCTTCCACCGCTCTGACCCCAGGAACCTGGGGATGGAACCTACACTCCCTTCTGAGCTGGCTTTCTGGTGGGAACTGGCAGGCTGCCCACGATTTTGTGCAGCCACTGTGGCCCCTGCAGCCTCCAGGTCTCCCCTCTCAGGGCTGAAGGGCAGGGAGCATGAAGCTGGTGCATCTTCAGAGAAGGGCTTTTAGAGTGACATAGCCGACTTAGTGACTAACTGGACTTGGGGACTAACTGGATTTGAGGAGTTGAGGGGGAGTCCAGGAGAAGAGTGATACCGTCTAATTAAGGCAGGAACAGGAGGACCAGGTCTGGAGAGAGATGAGCAGTTTGGGCACAATTCGAGCTTGCTAGAGGGAACTCCCAATGGGTGATGCCCACCGGCAGGCGGATATGAAGATCAAGGTCCGTGGGGTATTTATGAGGCATCAGCATTACAGGCAGAGGTTTCCTGTTCCATCAGCTCTGCTGCCAGCTCACTAGGTTGGGAAGCAGCAAGTGAAGATGGAGCCCTGTGGGGCCCCCTGGCTGGAGCCCTTCAAGGAACCGGGGAGAAAATCAGACTAGGAGATGCAACAGGAGTTGCTGGAATCAAAGCAGTGAGAATTCAGGGCAGGAGAGATCCAGTTCTTCAGAGATGGGGTGTGGTATGAGGGTCAAGGAGGTGTTTTCAGTTGGGTGCGCCCAGCCTGCAAAACCAGACCTGGTCCCCAGCAGCACAGAGCTGCTTCCTGGGCCAGAATGGGGGGACAGGGGTGCAGTCCCTGAGGGGAATGCTGCAGTGAGCCTGCCCTGCGACTTCCCAAGTAAAACAATTATTTTTGGGGAGAGTGAAAAGGAAAAGCCCCAGCTGGGCAAGGAATGCTGTTTTCATTACAAGCCTTTTAGTTCTTGGGTTTTTTTTAACCAAGTGCATGCAGAATGTTAATGAAGAAACTATTTTCTTATACTAATACTAAATCGGGTCTTTCCACTGGCTCAAAACAGTCTTTCATTTTAGACTTGCTGTGTAACCCCTGCTCCGCAGGCCACACTGGCCTGGGATACAAGTACTCTTAGACTGTTTTTGGGGATTAAAGATAGCTACCATACCCAGCAAGACTGAAAAACAGACAGGGAAAGGAAGAGCGACTCCATTCCTGGTCCCCGCCCCGGACACCACAGCTGTTCCCAGGGCCCTTCTCCCGCTGCGGCGAAGCCTGCAGGCTGTTTCTCCTCTTCCCTGTGTCCAGACCGTGAGTCAGGTCAATGTGCTGGTCCCTCTGGGGTGGGGCCTAGGTGCCTGGTTTCTTCAAACACTCATAAAACCAAGGGACCTCGTTACTGGTCTCCCTAATTCAAGGTCAACTATCAGTATTTTCTAAGTGCCACATTCTTGTATCTTCATCTTTAGAACACTTAATGAGCAATAGGAACAAATGGCAAAATATTTAAGCCTAACATAGATGAATGTGGTCATCTCACCTGTGCTTCTAAGCTACACCTATTGTGCATGGTAACAGGTATTATGGAAATGGGGAAAGGGGCTTAGAAAGTTGTGCTATCAATGCAGAGAGAGTGCACGAAGGCTGTTCTGGGGGCTTCTTCCCCACTGTTGTTACTCCACCTTTTCTCAGCTCAACCCAAACTAACGTGAAGAGTGTCTACTTGCAAGGTTGTATTGTTGCAAGAAACAAGCTGGAAGGTAACTAGATGACCGAGCAGGGAGGCCAAGATCATTTCCATCCCCAATGGTGTTCAGTATGGCCGCTTCCTTCCTGGACCCAAGTATAGGAGGCTTGCTTCCAAAACAAAGATGTAAAAATGACAGAGCACCCCCATGACCACGCAAATATAGGCTAATCAAAACCATCCCTTAGTCTAGAAAGTATAGATGCTAAAATGCTAACCACTGATCCAGAACTTTCAGGATGGCATCTTCCCCCAAACTTCTACACTATCTTTAAACACAGAATGCAAACAGGTAGCCTGCACACCACACCCAGTCCAAATAAATGACCAAATATCATTTGCTTGGCTGCCTAAGTGTTTTTAACAATATGATTTGTTAAAATATAGTTAGCAATACAGTGGGAGGTTTCACATAAATATCTGGGCTTCCTGACTCTCTGAAAAAAATGAGAAAATCTGTTTTCATACAGCAACACCAAGCTGGAGCTAACACGTGCCCTCTTTAGACAGTGAGGCGCTCCCCATCACAGCCTCACACCCTGCCTGCTCCCCTGGTTACGTTCCCGGCCTGCCATTTCACCTGCTCATCTGACACCCCTTCACAGGCCTCACGGTCCTGGTGCAGGAAGGCCCCCACGCTGTAGCGGGAGAGGATTCCTGCATTCTATGATATGTGTCCACAAAGTCTGAGACTACACACACGAGCAGAAAGGTTTGCTAATAGGTCCTGCAGCTCCACGACGGCAGCAGCTAACTGCTTCAGAGTATCTCTAGGAGTTAGATGACCATTATGCTCCTTCCAACCACAGGACCCTTCTTAGATCAAGAGCTTTATTGTTGGATGGAAACAGTTCTTGATCACAGATCTGTGCTTCTGTTCTTCTTCTCCAATTACAGACCCTAACTGCCTGATCCCGGGCTCTCTTCCACCTTGGCAAAGAGGCCAGAGGCAGGGAGACTTCCCACAGACTTCTCCAGAGTGTGGCCGAAGTACCAGTAAACAGACTAGTCTCTGGTAAAAGCCTGAAGCAGCTGGATTTCATCAGCTTATCACACCTGGCTTTTCTGGAGTCTGTTCCATGTGCGAAGTTCACAGAGTCCATTAAGCAAAGAGAAGAATTCCGGAGCCAAACAGCCCAACCGTGTTCACTGGGCTACAAGATGCCCGGCTTCATCCCCCTTTTGATCTGGACTTGGCATCTGCAAGCCCAGACGGCCCAGGGAATGTACAAAGTAGCGAGGAGGCTTGCAGACCAAGCTGAGTCCCTCTCTCCTGGACCCCAGGGCAGGCAGGATCAGCTGGCGGGCGTGCAGGTGAAGGGGGATGTGGCGGGCCTTCGACTGCGGCAGCCCCAGCTTCTTCAGGATCCCAGCAGACAGTTTCTGTACAACGAAAAGATAGCCCCTGGAGAGCAAGGCCAACGGCTCATCCCTGCCACACGCAGGGCCAGAAGACTGCCATTGAAGGGAACCAACACGGAAGTCCCCCCGAAGACACAGCAGCAGAGGCCTGCTACCGGGGCACCTCTAGGACGGGCTCAGGACCCAGGTAAGAGAAAAACCACCGCACCAGAAAAGCTCTGACTGCCCACTTCTCCGCCTTCTGAGAGAATAGGCTGTAGTTTCAAAAGACACAAAAGTTTCCCCCATGGCCCTCCAGCATAGCATGGAAGGCTGCTCTGCGCCTCCAGGAAGTCACCCCCGCCCACAGCCTAACAAAATCTGAGACTCAACACACGAAGCGGAGAAGTTCTGCTTACAGACCCCACGGGTCCAAGAGGACAGCCGCTAGCTGCTTCCGGATTTCTGCCTAAGCTAGAGAACTGGAATGGTCCCAAGTCTGAAGACCATCGATACGTCCTCGTGGGGACTCATCTTAGGGTTTTAACAGGGGAGAGCCTAAATCCACCCCCCTTATTCTGCATATTAGGCCAAACCAGTATTACCTGGGGGGCCAGCCTACTCCAGGCTGAGTACTTGTGATCACCGAGGACTGGGCAATCCAATCCAAAAGACAGGTGAACACGAAGCTGATGTTTTATTCCTTTAAAAAAAAAAGAGAAAAAATTTATGAGTAGCTACAGAAACATTACCACTGGTGGCATCTGCTTCTAATCATATTAAATCAAAGCAGAGTAAAACCGGCAAAGTCCCACCTAAATTAAAGTATAAAGAATAAAGTTACATAAACTATAAGCTACTAGGAAATAAACATTGTAACACCGTTAGGCCAGTAAAGCCCCTGTCCCCTTGCAGATTCCTCCTTCCGCCACAGACAATCACGGTCATCAGCTTCGTGTCTAACATTGCCAGGCTTTTAAAAAAAAGTAATTCTATTATATGATGCTAAATAGTATTGCTTTGCACGTTTATTTTTTACTGTTGCAAAATATACATAAAATTTACCATTTTAACCATTTGTAAGTGTACAGTTCAGTGGTATGAAGTGCATTCACATTGTTGTGAAAATGTCATTAACCAGCCATCTCCAGGACGGATCACCCCAAACTGTAACTCCACCCATTAAACACTAACTCCTCATTTTTCCCCTTCCCCCAGCCCCTGGTAACCACTACCCTACCTTCTATCTCTGTGAGCTGCATGACTCCAGGTACTGCACATAAACAGAATCATACAGTAGTTGGCTTCTTGTGTCTGGCTTATGTCACAAAGCATAATGTCATCAAGGTTCATCCAATGTTGGGGAATTTGTCAGAATTGCCTCCATTTTAGGCTGAATAACAGTCTGTTGTGTGCATACGCCACATTTTGTTTACCTGCTCATCTGTCAATGGACATCTGGGTTGTTTTCACCTTTTGGGTCCAGTGAAAATGCTGCTGTGAACTCTGGTGTGCAAATATCTTTTTGAATCCCTGTTTTTTGATTCTCTTGGGAATATATATATATATGTGTGTGTGTGTGTGTGTGTGTGTGTGTCTTACACACACTTATATATACACACACACACACACACACAGGTAAAACTCCTGGATCATATGGCAATTCTAGGACCACTTTGCAGAACTTTTTAAATAAATGTGAGCAAACTATTTATATGCTTCTGTTACCTACTGTTTTAATGATCATCCCACTGGAGCCCCGGCCTCAGATAGCACCAGAAGCACACTCTCAAACTGGTCAGCTGCAATCCCAGCCCCCCTACAATCCCAGCTGCCCAGAAGAAGGGCCGAGCCCAGCACAGAGCCTCAGGATTTCGCCATCCCGCCGCAGGACGGTGGCCCCTCACCGGTGATAGGCTGGAGCTCCAAGAGGGCGGAGGAGAGGGTGCTGCTCAGCACCCGGTACTGCGTTACAGCCAGCTGCGAGTTCTGGCCAGCCCGCACTCTCACCACTTTCCCACTGTCCATGCGGTAGTTTGGGGACAGCGTCATCTGGAGCCAAAGAAATCAAGATGTGATTCAAAGGAAGAGCTGAACACCCATCCCTCTGGGAGAGAGCTCACCCACCTTGTGGTGGTGCTGCGGGCCCTGCACCTCCTTCTCAATGATGGGGATGTCCACGACTCCTGCTGAGGGCACCGGGATGTGCACGGTGATGGCCCTGGGGGTGACACACAGACCCCTGCGTAAGCCACAGAGGTGAGGCGCTCCTGGGATGCAGCTACCTAGCGGTTTTAGTCCTGGACCTACTGCACTGCTGTGGTCTGTTCCCTAAGACCGGAGCATCCCAAATGATCTCATTACAGTGCTTAGCTTGAGAGCTTGCCACCATTCTTAGAAACGTTGTTTTTACTAATAAATTAACATATGCTACTTGGAGAATATTTGGGGAAAAGCAACAACAAAAAACTATACTAATGACATGGCCTATCATTCCAGCCTTCAAAAAAGAGCATATATAGTTTAAAAATAAAATTAGGGTGATATAGTTTTGTATCCTGTTGTTCTTTTTTAAACAACAAAGGATGGTAAGTTCTAACTGCACGTGACATGAACGAATAAATAAGCGAATGAACTGAGTGAACAATTCACAGGACCACTCCTGCCCTCATTTGCCAGGTAGATCAAAAGGGAAGAACCATGCCCGAAGAAGTCACAGGAACCACAACTGCGACGCAACTATTTCAAGTCACTGCTGCTGGAGGTCTCCCTTCCGCACGTCACACAGATAGAAAACCGTTCTTCATCTATCTTACATTTGTACCTCTTCCAGGCCAATACCGCCTACTGTTTGGTGGCCTTTCACAGAATCACTGACCAAGAGGTCAAAAGCCCACTCAGATATACCATTTCACACTCTGGACACCCTTCTCCAGGTTGGTAGCAGTGTGGCTTACCATCTGTTATGTTTTATAATACTTAAACTGAGTTGTAACTACTAGATCACCTTTCCTAATGCCCTAACACTACCGCTCAAAAATATTCAGTCAGTAAATATCCACTGAGCGTAAATGGGCACCAATGTAGGTAGGTATTCGTTCTATACAGGTGGACAAGACAAAATATTCTCTCAAGGAATTCAGTCTAGTAAGAAGACTCAAACAAATAGCTATCACACAGCGAGTTGCTGCCACGGTAAGCCAGCAGACGCTGATCAGTTTCCTTGCATGTTTTACTTCTAATTTCCATTCCCTGCACCTGATATCTAAGACTGTCATTACCTGGTTCCAGCCTGTCTTCCCAGCATTATCTGCCATTACCCCCAACTCCAAACTGGACTGCATGCTTTACTCCTTTGTGTATGCCAGTCCCACAACCTGTAACACATTTCTCCATCTCGTCTATCAAATCCTATTCAATCAAAGTCCAATGAATTGATTCCAACTATGCTGTGAAGCCTGATGCTGAGAATGGTTACTAATGTGGAAGTTTCATGGACAATTTTCACAAATAATAGAATACTTTTTTACAAACTTACATTTTCATTACTCGTATACATAATACTAGTCCTGATATTCTATTTTCAGCTTTTAAGATAAGTAAGGTACCGGGTTAAACATTTCATGTGCATTGTCTCACTGAATTCACTCATTATTTCCATTTTTCATATGAAGAAAAAGCTTAGACAAGTTTGATAACTTGCCTAAGGTCCCCATACTGGTAAATGACACAGCTGAGAGTGGAACACAGATCTTTTTGAGCTCTTAGCACCTATGTGAAACTTCCTCCATTACCTGGAATCTTACAACTTGATTTAAACTTGGTTCTTAAACTTGATTCTACATTAAAGTCATTTGTGGAGCTTTCTAAAAATATAGATGCCCAATCCCCATACCCATCTTAGAGTATGGGACCTCTGTGACTTAGGGATCAGGACCTATGTGGGTGAGTCTCAAGCATATAGATTTTTTTATTTTGGTATCATTAATATAAAAATCACACGGGCAACATTGTGGTTACTAAATTCCCCCCATTATCAAGTACCCATCACATACCCCATTACAGTCACTGTCCGTCAGTGTGGTAAGATGCTACAGAGTCACTACTTGTCTCTGTGCCATAGTGCCTTCCCTGTGTGACCCCCTTTGTTGTGTGTGCTAATTGTAAAGCATATAGATTTTTTTTTTTGAGAGGGCATCTCTCATATTTATTGATCAAATGGTTGTTAACAACAATAAAATTCTGTACAGGGGACTCAATGCACAATCATTAATCAACCCCAAGCCTAATTCTCAACAGTCTCCAATCTTCTGAAGCATAATGAACAAGTTCTTACGTGGTGAACAAGTTCTTACATGTGCAAGACATACAGATTTTTTAAAAGCTTCCAAGATCACAAAGTTGCTGCAAAATCTGTAATACAAAAAGGACTAACTTCCTTTTTGTATTATATATATATAATACAAATATATAAAATATAAAACAATATATTTATATTAATATAAAAAAATATAAAAACAAAACTTGCAAATTAAATAGAAAGTGATAAACAATCCAATAGCAAATGAGCAAAAGAAATAAACAGTGTTCACAGATGAGGAAACTCAAACAGCCAATAAAACACAAAAAGACAGTCAACATCACCAGTACACAGGGAAACAGGGAACAGAATAACTGTTTTTTTACCCATCAGAGTGGCAAACCTTTAAATGCACTGGTGAGGCATTGTGGAGATAGATACTCATCACTGCAAGTGGGAGTAAAAACTGACAAAACCATGTTGGAGAGCAATATGGGTAGTTAAAAGCATTCAAATTTTAAATGCATGTATGCTTCGACCTAGCGATTCCATTTTTAGGAATTTGTCTTAAAGATATACTCACATGTTATTTATAATAGGCTATGTAAAGTGGGAAATTAACTATAAACATATCAATAAGAAAACTATATCCATACAATGGAATACTATAGACCTATTAAAAGAGAGAGCTCTAAATGTACAACAGAAAAGGCTCTCCAATATATACTGCCCAAGTGAAAAGAGCGGGACGCAAAGCAGTGCAAAATATGCTACCATACAGTAAGATGCTTACGCATGCCCAGTGTAACTCTGGGAGCTACACAAGACACTAGTAACAGCGGTTGCCTCTGGGGAAGGAAACTGTTTTGCTTTATCTTTGCTATTTGACTATTTTACTACAGGACTGAAATCATCTATTACTTGTAAGATTAATTTTCAATAATTTCTATAGCCATAATGAGGAACCATTATTCTATCAGACTCTAAACACTAACTGTTTCCTATATTTTCTGTGCCCACAGGTCCCAATACAGTGCCTCCTATTAATAAGAGTTCCTGTTGTATAAATGGGTGACTAGATGAAAGGGGTGCCTTCATTTACAAAGCTCTATCAATGGGCTTCATACCAGTACTTCTTTGCCACCTGACGGGTTCTAAACAACTCTTGGACTTGATGTGCCACTTCCTTTTCCCAAGCCAACACCATTACACCTGTAGTTTCCTTGTCCAGACGGTGGCACAGATGCAGGGGCTCTGCCTTGTGGCCATGAAGCATCTTCGCCAGGATCGGCAAGACATCACTGATGCAGAGCTGGACCCCAGGGCCACCTATGAAGGGAAAAGCCAGAGGTTTGAGTGGTCAGGTTAAGATCCCACCAAAGAACCCTACCTGGGAAGAAGCCCGTACTGGATTAAGTGTCAGTGCTTGCTAAAGCCTTATTACTGAAGTGTGATCCAAGGACAAGCAACATCTGTATGCTCAAGGAACTTGCTAGAAAGGAACCTCAGGCCCCTAACCCATACTATTAAGTCAAAATCTGCATTTTAACAAGATGTCCAAGTGACTCATACACATATTCAAGTTTGAGAAGTACTGTTCTAGAGCATATGGCTTTCTCCTCAGACATGTATTTTTAAATTTGCTTATGTTCTCACACTAAAATCAGCACTCACATGAGGTTTGCTATTTTACTATATACACAAAGGCTTGAGAACTTGCTGAGTAACCTAGTGATAAATGCAAGACCATGAGGCCCTCCTGAGGCATTAGAGAAGAGCTGAGAGGATGGGCTTTGGGGTGAGACATCCCTGGGTTCTACTCTATGTACTCTCCTAACTAGCCACTGACCTTGGACAGATTAATCTTTCCAACTTTCATTTTCCTCACCTATAAAATGTAAATGTCTGGTTAATAATTATTTCATGGGGAATGGGAAGGCAAGAAGCTATTGCGAAGCTCAAAAGAGAAAAACAACACACAGAACACTTGGCAATGTCTGACTTAATTCTTTGCACAGCCTTTCCCATACCTTCCCAAAGAGCATTCTTCTTCTAGTGAAGCTATGCCTTTTCCTCTAACAAAACCCTTTCTACAAATCCTTTTTTTCTTATCAATCTTTCCTAACTCACTCCAGCTGTCTCTAACAACTATGTTCCACATGTATTCAAAAAACGTACGAGTGCCCACTGTGGGTTTTTGTTAGGTATACTCCAACACAGACACACAGCCCCCAGATTTTTTCTTACACGTTCTCCTTCTCATTTTTGATGGAAAATCTGAAGACAAGAACCACACAGCCTTTGTATTTCTCTGTAGCCATCTATATGAATGTATGCACACAGCACATTCCATAAATCACTGCCATCTGCCAGACGTTTGGAAGGTGGGGACTGTCTTATTTATCTCTGTTTCCTCAGTAGTGCCTTATATAGGACAGTGCTCCACAAAGGTTCAATTGTTTCGAATGCAAGGCTTTGGAGAGCCACAAGTAATGTGTCAGAGCTGCCCTAGTTGTATCAGAGAGCAGCAGCAGCCTCCCTGCCTCTCCCATGAGGTCCTTACCATGCACAGGAACACCGTAGGGCTTACTGATGACCAAAAGGTCATTGTCCTGGTGGACAATCCCTCGGCTCAGTGCCTTGGCGAGCACGTTGGGGTGGACTCGCTGCAGCTGCTGTGTGTACCGCACTAGTTCTTGCACTCTCCGCTGAACAGGGTTTGTGGGCACCTACGGGGAGAAAAGGAGCGACGGGAAATGACTGGTGAGGAAGAACTTCAGTAAGTGGGTGAAAATTTGAATAGGGAATGACTAATCTTTACATTACACTCGAGACTTCCCCGGGTAATTTGAGAGCAACGAGGGTGCTGTCTTACCTGTACCCACGTAGTGTTAGGACCGAGCCTGCCAACAGCCAAAGACTACTGACCTCTCTTCTTTCTCCCCAGTCTCCCACCTCACGTCTTCGACATTCACTTGATCTGTCAGAGCACCCTCCTGCCTAACTCCCAGCCTGGGACACCACTGTGCGCACTGTCTCTTGGGAGTTGTGGTCCTTCCGGACTCACCGGCTCCTTCTTCGTCTTTTGCTCCTGCTTCTTGGCTCGAAGCCTCTCCGCTAATCCCTGGGCATTGAGAGATCTAGAGGCAGCAGTGGCGGAACAAAATGGCTGAGAGACGAATGTCAAGAGATTCCCCAAACGCTGCCCGGAACCCTGGACCCAGAAGCCAAGCGTGGTACACCTGGGCGACGCCATCTTGCCACGAAGGGAGGGGCTAGCCGCGACCCTGCGCAGAAGAGCGGCCAGAGGGAGGGGGCGATTGGGCGGGCTCTTCGGGTCACGTTGTCAGGGGGCGGGCTCTGGGACGAGTCACGTGGGGACAGTGCATTCTAAGTGCGGCTGCGCGGGCCGGTAGCTGCAGTCGGAGCGGTGGCGTTTGGAGCAGACGCGGTGAGTGTTTTGGGTAGCCGGGCTGGGGATGGAAAGAGCTAGCGCCTGAACCCTTGAACGTTTTCGCGTCCCAGTTGTTTCTGTCCTCGTAGAGCACTGCCGTGGGAAACCGTTTCTCCATCTGGGAGACAATCCCACTCAAAACACCTCCCCGCCCCCGCTCCTTCTTAGAAGTGATGCCCCACATGCTCCCCCCAGAGCCTTTTCAGGCGCCTGCCTCGTTCCTCGTAGCAACCACTTCCCCGGTGTTCGGCCAGTTCCCTGGGGAGTGTCACCTCTCGTTTCCTTACTGCTCGACCTTCGGAGATGCCCGGATCTCTGTAGCCTCTCCTCCCCTCATCTCCCGACTCCCAGCCTCTTTGTTCCATGTTGTAACCTGTCCTCCTCTCCCCGGGATGGTGGGGAGCCCCCTTCGTTCGTTATCCAGGGACCCCAGCCCGTATTTCTTACCTTAGGGAACACCTTGAGTTTCCATCTTCCTCGAGAATTCATTTATTGGAGTCTACTCTCCCCCTACCCTCTCCCTACTCCTTCCAAAGAAAAGACAAAGTACAGAGCAAGGACCTTCCCTTCCCTTTTCTGCTTCCTTCATTTTCCCCTCCACAGTTTGCAGCCTTCCCAAACCCTCTCCTTTCACAAGGTACCCTGGTAGGACTCCCATGCCCAAACTGCAAGCGACTCCTGACTTCACTAAGGAGTGGCTTAGTGAAGCCACTCTGGTTGGGATGGTGCTGTTGAAAAGACCTTGGTACACACCTGCCATTTGTTAAGAAGAAAGCTAATGCCGTGTTCTGGAGGGATGTGCAGAAAAACTGTTGGATCTGTACTGATGAGAGAGGAAACACATTTTAAGACTGCCTAGAATGAAGGATGCCTGAGGAGTTAAGAGGAGGTGGTGAAAGGGACTGCAGAAGGTGGTAGATAGGGGACGTTTATGGTTTTGTGTGGCGGCTGGGAGAACCTGTTTTTCCTTAATCTGTCTGTCCTTAATGGCATTCAAGAAATGACACCTGCTCTTGCAGAATTGGTCGTATGTAGCAAGAAAGAAAATGAAGAACCAACTTGGATATCATTGCTAGTGACACAGAGCTTGTGTTCCTGGGTTTCAGTTTAACCCAAGGCACATGCTGTAGTGACTAAGAATAAAAACACTGGTCATTTTTATCTGGAGAAGGAACCTGTAAGTATTCTTGTTGAAACTGTGAGAAATTTGAAGAATGCGGAGGTTTGGTTTGTTTGCATGATATCACACTACAGCTTTAGCCAGTATCAGACATTACAGCTTCTTTAATGTTTCTCCTTTGAGTGATTTTAAAGTAGAGTTGCTCTCTAAGTATATCTTTTGTTTTTAATACTGTATTGCCTTCCTCCCCATCCTCATTCAACTGATTCCATGTTAGCCAGTTCATTTTTCCACTTCTGCACCAATCCCACATTCTCTCTTTGCTTGGGGCCTCCTTTTGTCTGGATGGTTTTCTCAGTGCAGAGAAGGAAATTCTTTTTTTTAAAAATTATTTTGTTATCATTAATCTACAATTACATGAAGAACATTATGTTTACTAGGGTCTCCCCTTCACCAAGTCCCCCCCACAAACCCCATCAGTCACTGTCTCAGCGTAGTAAAATGTTGTAGAATCACTACTTGTCTTCTCTGTGTTGCACAGCCCTCCCCATGCCCCCCCCCACATTTACATGCTAATCGTAATACCCTTTCTTTTTCCCCCACCCTTATCCCTCCCTTCCCACCCCTCCTCCCCAGTCCCTTTCCCTTTAGTAACTGTTAGTCCATTCTTGGGTTCTGTGATTCTGCTGTTGTTTTGTTCCTTCAGTTTTTCTTTGTTCTTATACTCCACATATGAGTGAAATCATTTGGTATTTGTCTTTTTCCACTTGTCTTATTTCACTGAGCATAATACCCTCTAGCTCCATCCATGTTGTTGCAAATGGTAGGATTTCTTTCAGAGAAGGAAATTCTATTAGTGTTGTCTAGTGGTATCTTCATTCTTATGGAGTACAAACATGGCTTATTTACCTAGATTTTGGTATATCACGGTATGGTCCGCATTATAACCATATGAAGAACTTTATAATTCGTTTTTAAGGATATTTCCTTATCTATGTAAGAACAAGATTGCCTTTTTATTTCAGAAATGTAAGTAAGGACTGACTAATAAAAAGACTTGTGTCTCAGTATCACAAATTTACGGTTAATTGGTGGCATAAGGTTAAATCCTGGCTCCCCGAACAATGATTTTCTAGTTGCAGATTAACCAACGAATCCATTTCCCTGAAGAACAGGAAGTACTTGGACATTGTTTTATGGTTTAAGAGAGCTTCAAAGAAGCAGTCAGCAGGAGCTCCAGGAGGTGTGTGGGAAAGTGCAGTTGTTGGGAGCTGAGATCTGGGGACCACTCCCAGTTCAGCTGTTTTTGAGCTTGAACAAGTAGTTGGGGTTCAGTTTTTCTGACTTTTAAAAGAAGATCCTTACTAGAGATTCAGGATTCTATTCTTGTCCCTAGAATTTAACCTGATGTCACTGAGCTGTCTTTATTGGAGGTTACTCATTGAGTAGTGCTGGAATATACCTTAAGACTTCCTAAAGGAGACAGGAGAGGGAGCGCAGATAGAAAGAAGTATTTGGAAACAATCTTTTTCTATAACATGGTGTTATGACCGAACGCATGGATGGCAGTTCTTTTTTTGGTACCAGGGTTCTAAAGAGATTCCATGGTACTCATGCCCCTCTTTATACTTTCATTCAACTCTTGAGTAATAATGATCAGGCAGGTCTGTCTTAACTGATACTTCCAACTTTTTTCATATCATGGCGCATGTGGAAGTAACTGTATCATGGAGGAAAACTGGCCTGGGACTCAGAAGACAGCTGACCTGGGAGCTTGGCTGAGCCCAGTCCCCACCTGACTACCCCAGAGGATGAGGAGATCCCTATCTTGTGAAGCATTTGACCCTTAGAAAGGTCAGCATCACACATTCAAGGTCTTTGACTAAAACTGTGCCTAACTATTGAGAGGAGTTCTATCATTATATTTGTTAGATCTTTCTCTAATTTGTTTCTTCCTTATGTGCCTTTATGCTTTTGGCTAAGTTTATATTTGAAGACTGTGCTTGTCCTTACAAAGTGACCTCTTAAGAAGTGTGAAAAGCAGTTAGCTGATAAAGAGCTAGGAAATGCTTTTGTTGTGATGTTTTTAAAACATCATTAGATTACAGGCAGTCTTGCTCTGCTTATTTAGAAAGATAAAGAGTTTTTTTAATAGTTTACTTTGTTTTGCATTATATGGTTTTCATTATTAAAGTAATACAGAAAATGTGAAAAATACAAAAAATAGGGTGGGAAAATCAATCATAGTTCTGTTTCCCAAATACTATTAATATGATGGTTTTTCTCAATCTTTTTTATCATGAATTTTTTAAATTGTAAATTTCAAACATTTACAGTAGAGAAGATATTCCAATGAACCCCGTGTACCTATCAGCAGGCTTCTACACCCTGCCCTTACCTGATGGCTTTTGAATGGTTTTGAATCAAATCCCAGATATATAATTTCATCTGTAAATACTTCAGTTATTTATCTGTGAAAGATGGGGCTTGTTTTTAACATAACCAGGATACCATTATTACACTTTAAAAAATGTACTCCTTAATATCACCAAGTAACCAGTTAAATCACAAATTGTCCTGTTATTCTCATTTAGTTTTTAATAGTTAATTTGTTTGAATCAGGATGCAAGGAATACCCGCATGTCATACATACGTTTATAATTAGAAAGATAAAACTATGGGCACTCAGAGACACATAGACCGTAAACTGTAAGGATGCTTAGAGCACCACCCTGGCTAAGAACTAGCACTTGGGAGTCTCAGTTCCCCGCTCTGCCATTTGCTAGCTTGCGCACATTACTTAATCCCTCTCCCTTAATTTCTTTATCCTGTAAAATGTAGATCATACCTACTTTAGGACTCCTGCTTAGGAGTAAGTGAGTTAATGCAGGTTAAAACACATGTGTAGAGCCTGAACACGTAGTTAATGCTCAACACGTATTAGCTCTGTCCAACACATAGTATAGCACCAGGTACATAAAGTCATTAAATAAGTGTTAAATGTTCAACAAGAGTCAAGAGACGTGGAATTTAGTCTAATTGTGCCACTCAGCTGATTCACTTAAAAGTTTTGGACTTTAAATTTCTCACCCAAAAAATGGGATGGGGTGAACACTAGATGATCTCTAAAATTCCAGTCCTTGCAGGAAGTGAGGCAGCTTGGTATTTTAGAAGGAGCATGAGCTTTGAAAACAGACTGTTCCACAGTTGTTAACTGATATAGAAAACCAGATCCACACTGAGTGATCCCAGTGTACTAGTCGTCATTTCCCAAACTCGCTTGATGGTAAGAGATTTAGAATCTCTTGAGGTACATCTACCGCCCACTCTTAAAATTTTCATTCAGCAAATGCTAGGTTAAGGTCATTTGCCACCCAGTCCAAGGAGCCCTGAGGGCCTGGGATAAAAGTTCTTTTGTTTATGGCTATCCCAAACAAAAAGTCAGGTTGCTAAAAAATGTAGAGAGAAAAATAGCAAATCTTAAATGTTAACTATTTTTCCCTCTATTTATTTATTTATTTATTTTAAAATCAAATTAATTTGTGCATATTGTTTAAAAAGGCAAGATAGTACTGAAAGACTTATGGAAAAAAATTAAATAGTTCCCTCCACTTTCCCCATCACATAATCTCATTCACTCAATTATTTTCCTCTTTTCTCAGGCATTATCTTCTTATTTTTAAATCATTTGATGTTATGTCTTTTTTTCCCCACCAGTGGGCCTGTTGAGCCAGATGATATGTCCAGCTCCATGCTTGTGTTAGGTTGACCTCTGCCTGTTGTTTCACATATTTACCTACTGTTAATTTTTTTTCCAAGTGCTCCAACATATTTGTCACATTCTTATCAGTAATACTTCTTATGAGCTCAAATGTGTCCCTTCCACATTTTTATTGGAGCGCTGCGTCTTCTTCCTCCTGTCTACTGTTTCCTATCAAGAACTACTACCAAATGTCATTTCACAACTGCCCTTCACTCTCCTGGGCTGTCACCCACATCCCAGTTCTTGACTCACATCCTTATTTCCTAAGAAGTGTTCAAATAGCTTTATTTTGCAACTGATTTGTTTGATCATTTGTAATTGTTATAGAACTCTAGCTTGGAAGTAATTTTCCCTCAGAATTTTGGAGGCATTCTTGTAGTGTTTGGTATCTGTAATTGCTCTAGAGGCATAGTGATCCAGATTCTTTTTCTGTGACCTTGTTTTGTTGGTTTGATTTTTTTCCTTTGCTTTGCTCCCTCACTGAAAGCTTTGAGGATATTCCTACCCTGGTGTTCTGGAATTTCATGGTAATGTTCCATGGTATGTGCCTTTTCCATCTGTTGTGCTGGGTACTCAGTGGACACTTTCATTCTGCAAATTCATGTCCTTCAGTTGTGGAACATTTTCTTTTCTTTCTCTGGTTTTGCTCTCCATCTTTTCTTTTCCTTTGGTCCTTTTTCATAATATCCATTCTTGTTACATGGATATGATAGCTTCAAAGAGAACCGATTGTAGTTTTTTAGCTTCTGCTCTCTGCATTGGAGCAGGCCTGAGGTCTATTGCCAGAGTGAACATCAACCCCAAAATAATGGCAAGGCCCTGTATCTGATGAGAACTTAGTGCTTCACCAGTTTCATAAATCCCATTAAGTCACACCCATGAGGATGGGGAAGGAGTTGGCCCTCTGCTCACTCCCTTCTCGTTCCCACTCACCCCAGTTTCCTCACTGCCCTCAGCCACTAGAAATGCACTGCGTCTTTCTTGATGCTGCTGTAAAAACGTGCACTACTGCTCTTGATGAATCCACAAACTATTTGAGTACAGCTGATCCTCGGACAACAGGGGGGTTAGCAGTGCCCCTTCCCACCCCAGGTAGTTGAAAAGCCACATGTAACATGACTCCCCCAAAACTTAACTACCGATAGCCTGCTGTTGACCAGAAGCCTAACCAATAACATAAACGGTCCATTAACACATATTTTGTAAGTTAGATGTATTCTTAGAAGCTAAAGGGAAAAAAAGTTTTCAAATTGTTGCAGACCTCCAAAAATTCCCAGTAGGTTTATTGAAAGAAATCCATGTATTAAGTGGACCGTCGCAGTTTAAACCTGTGTTCTTCAAGGGACAATTGTATTTTTAAAAGTTAACTTTACTCAGACACTGAGATAAGTGAAGGAAGAAGTTTAAAAACCAACAGGAGGCACTTACCCATTATACAGATGAGTTGTGGTGTGAAAGGAGGGCAAACTGGCAGAGTTTTCTCAATTTGGGGAACTGATAACCTGTGACCAGGTTGCTTACACTTCTTCCAAGAGTTCCTCTTGAAAACTGCTTTTCTCGAAATAAACCAAACTATCAACATTATCTCCAGGGGGCTGCAGGGCAGTTTCCTTTGCTCTTTCTCCCTCGCTGTGCTTCACGTAGGTCCTGCGGTGCCTGCACGTGAGCTGCTCCTCTTCTCATCCAGGAGGGAAGCTGCTTTCCTTCCCGGTTAGCGGCCCTGGCCCCGGGCCCCCGCGGCCCAGCCCTCTGTTGCTCCCCTGTGGTTCCTCCCTCAGTATTGCGCTGACCTTCACTCTGTCGGGCAATATGTGTTTAGGTCTTCCGAACCTGTTTTTCTCCCACCTAAGTATTTTTCCTGTTATTTTCACTGGCCACTTTAAAGGGCTGATGCTGCAGGCTCAGTACAGCAGTGCCTTTAAAGCTGCTGCTTCTGCGAGCCTCGTCTTTCCAGTTCTGGTGGTCTCCGTGGCAGGTAATATCTTTTTTTTGAGCTCTCAGATTCTTGTTTCAGGTCTAAACAAGACTTAACCAAGCTTTCATCTCAATTTATTTGCAGGTCAAAGAGAATATTTTCAGTTAATTTTTATTAGAAAAAAAAATTATCCTGAAAAGATTATCAAGCTAATTTAAGGTTACAAACTTAAGCACTTCCCTAAATGCCCTTTGGCCCATTATTCTCTTATTCTTAAGGGATTATTGAAATCGAGCCAAGCAATGTACTTTTAAGTGTATGACAGTTCTTAAAAAATCTGCAAGTAACGTTGTTGGTGCTCAAAACCAAAAGAGGGAAATAATCAGCTATAATCCTATCAACCAGAGATTATTTCTGCCAATCAGAGACCTACAAGCACATGATAAGAAACAGGTTGCTGAACTGCTTTTTGACCTTTCAGTTTGCAGGACTGTCTCAAAGTACCTTTGGGTTTTGAAGGGCTGTGTAACTGAAGCTTTTGGGGAAGTATCTCATGGGGCTGAAACAGAAGAGATCTGAGCCAAAGAGAGATTTGGGAGTCCTTAGCATTGAGTTGGTATTTTAAACCACTAGGATGGATGGAGTGGAGAGAGGAGGGTGGAGATGAAGTGATGAGATGGGAGAGCCTAAAACAGTACCCTGAGGACCCTCAACATTTAGGGCTCGGGCAGGGAAAGGAGCACTTCTGCCAGAGCGATGGGAGGAAAACCAGGAAAGCAGTGCCCAGAGGAGGTGAGAGTGGAATGAGTGTCAGCTGCTTCCAAGGGGTAAAGGAAGATGCACAGTAATGCTTTCATTAAATTTTGTCATAAAGCTGTCTATAGCCCATCAAGTTTCTCTTGATCTTCCTCAAGCACAATTGTTAATCTCTCCTGTACCTCACATGTGCATATTAAACTGAACAAATGAAAGTTCGTTTATAGTTGTCTTTCCTAGAAGGTGTAGACTTACCAAGGGCTTGACCCTTAAGGGTAGATACCGTGGTAAGTCTTGGTGAGACTGTACGGCATTGTCTTTACAACATGGACTCTGGAGTCAGTGTCCCCTGCCCAGCGTGTTAATAGCCGTGTGACTGTTAGCAAGTTATTCAACATCTCTGTCCCTCAATTTCATTAT